ATATCGAATGATACTTTTTACGGGTATCGGTATTACCATAACTACTCAATAACTGTATCATTTTATCGGTATCGCTTGTGTTTTTCTCAAAATGCGTCGGAAAAAAAATCGAGAAATCGATACATTTACATGAACATATGGTTAATGGTTAATGGTTAAAAGCAAAATAAATGTGCTAGACATCTAAGGTCATGTAGCACTATAGTAAATGTTAGTAAAGGGTGGTTAAGTTCGTGATTAGTTGTCAAAGCTAGGCAAAGGAATTGGTGAGTGATGGGTTAAGGTCGGGTGATGTAATGTAAAGGGGTTAGATTAAGTGATGGATATTTATGCGTTTGAGAGGAAAACAGGTTGGGAGGTCGGTGAAGGGATAGGTGGAGGGAAGCAGAGGTACAGGCTGCTTCAAAACGTGGGCATGACAATAGAATGTGTGGGACTGAAAGAGGAATTACATAAGGGGCATAGGGGTGGATCGGATTGTGACATCAGATAGAAGTGTGTTAGATGGGTGTAGAAGGGGATACTTGTGATATAAGGGATTCACGTATGTATCCAGGAGGGAGTGGAAGGGATAGAGGGGATGGTGGGAGGGTTAATGTGGGCGGGGCTGGAATCGGGGGGGATGGGCTGTGTTGGGAGGGGGTAGGAGAATAGGGTGTAGGGGGGATATCGTTAGGAGGAGGATGGATATCGGCAGTCACTTGGTGTGTGGAGGGAGCAGGAGTTGTAGGATTTGAACGTTTGTTTTGTCTGTTGCGGGTAGTTCGGGGAGGGAGAGGGGAAGGTGTTGGGGTTGTAGTGGAGATTGGAGCGTCTAGATTTAGGATGGCAAAAAAGTTTGACTGAGGAAGATAGGAGGTAGAAGAGTTAGGGAGTTAGATGGAGGGGGGTAGGTTTGGGAGAGGATGTAGGAGCTTGGGAGGTAAGGGAAGTGGTAGAATGAGCAATATTACTGGAGTAGGGATTAAGAGAAAAACCTTGTCGACGTGCTTCCTGTCTGGCTTCACGTAGTGTGAGTCCAAATTTGAATCTGAGAGTTGCTACCTCAGACTCAAATTTGTAGGAGGGGCAGCTCCTATAAAATACATTATGAGGGCCACCGCAGTTGGCACATGTGCGTGATTGTGCAGAACAGTTTGATCGAGTATGGCCAGGTTGGGCACATAGTGGGCTGTGGAACGGCAATGTTTGGCTGGATGTCCTAAACGCCAACAATTTTGGCACTGATGAGGAGGAGGTTGGTATGGTCGGACAGGGAAGGAATCTCCACCTATGTAAACATTAAATGGAAGGTCATGTCTACGGAAAGTAATTTTGGCGATGTTAGTGGGTTTCTTACAATGACCTCTGGGAGGAATGGAGTAGCATTGTACTGATGTCGAGTGGGACAGGCGAGTAAGTCTTCTCCACAATCTGACCAATCTTTGTCATAGATTGGGTAGTTTGCTGGGGAGATAGAAACAGTTCCGGTGCAAGTATTGAGGGTTGGATGGGGTTCTGCAAGGATAGGGTTACCATATAGATCAGTTAGTTTTGCTAACGCTATAGCTTGGTTTTCGGATGGTACTGTGACGAGACGGGAGCGGTTGGGTCAGGGAAAGAGACTTTGCCTACTTGTTTTTGGAGACATTGCTGGAAGAGAAGGGTGTTGTCAGAGTAGGGAGCTGTGGGAGGGATCACGAAAAATCGGTCCCATTTGGCTGGGCTAAATAGAGTATTTAAGATTGTTGTGGAGATAGGGGTAGTAGAAGGGCGAGGGCGTGTCGAAGAGAGAGTAATGTTGAGGGAGGTAGTGTTATGGAGAGGTAGGCAACAAGGCTGTAAGGTATTATTAATAAGAGAGGATGGGGTAGTTGATGTAGAAGGTTGTGGGGGTAGAGGTGTTGAGCATGATGGGAGAGTAGGAATGTCTCTAGGGGGGTTGAGTGTTGACTACTGTACTAGTAGGCATTGAGTAGGGGGTAGTTGTTGCAGTGTTCGGAGCCGTGGTCAAAGGAGAGCCTGGGGTCAGGGAATCAGGAGGATTTGAATTGTTGGGGCTATTTGATGAAGGGGCAAGCCTCATTGCCCCTAATAGTGGAGTTACGTTTTCATTATTGGCCATGGTAAGCCAGGAATATGTTGGGGAGAGAAACAGTCCACCCCTCAGGGTCCCCTTGAGGGGTAAGGGCTAGGCCTAAGTAAGGGAATACCGTGTCTATGGCTCCCCCAAGCTGTTCAGGACTGGCACAAAATCAGTCTTTCATCCTTTCAGCACGGCTCTCACACCTTAGGAGGTGGATAGTAGAAGGGATTGGTGAAGGGACAAAAACGAAAAAGTAGGAAGGGAAAAAAGAACATGCAAAATTAGTCGAGTCGAGGGCTGAGTCCCAAGGTTGAGGAGTTCCCCATCATTGGGTCCCAATCTCTGCCTCCTAAGCCCTCCTAAGCCCCCCCAGAAAATTAAATAAATGGAAAATTAGTCGAGGAGAGAGCTGAGGTCCAATTTAGGGACGATTCCTGCTTTGGGCTTCAGTCTCCGCCTCCTAAGCAAGGGATTGGGGAGGGTGGGGGGGTATTAAATATAATACGGTTCAAAATTGGATTTTTAAAATCAAAATGACATGAGTCACAAATTATTAGGGAAGGCGACTAAATTATCTTTTTTTTTGGAATGATTATTAGATAAAATAGATAAAGAAAGAAAAAAATGCAAGACTACTGTGCTGTAACGAGTCTTGCTATTATGTAGAATTACCAGTCATTAGTTGGCAAATTATGAAATATGTTTCTTTCATTTCGACATCCAGTAATTATGTTACCTAGTATTTCATTTACAGATTTCAGAACAATATCTATCTACCATTGAATATATATGACATATCGAAAAAATACGAAGGTAATTGAAAATTCGTATATTTTCTTCGTTATTCATATTTTTCCTAAAAACCTTTCATCTGTACAGATACCAACAGCTAATGTATTTCATACTCTCTCTTTGACTTTCACCTGTCCTCTCTCTCTGTCTCTTTCTCTCCTCCTTCCTCTTTTTCTGGTTCTTTCTTTCTCTCTTTTTTCTGACTCTCGCTCTATTTCTCCTTCCTTATGTCCAACCCTCTCTGTTTCCTTTTCCCTTTCTCTCTCCCTCCTTCTTCCATCTCCTTCCCTCCCTCCCACACCCCTCTCTATTCCAATCTCCCTTTCTCTCTCTCTCTTCTGACTCTCTTTCTCTCACTCCTCCCTCCCCTCTCTCTCACCTGTCAGCTGTAAGTGTAATTGCTGTTACAGTGGTGTAGAAGTCATCAGTATTTTTTTCCTGATGAAATTACTAGGTAATATATATAACGTAAAAATATCCATACATGATGCACATTTTTCTGCTGCAGTCATTATTTGTAGTGCATGAATCATCCAAATCAAATATTTGCAAGTCAGCAGGGGTATTTTTGGTGATACTTCTATTAGTAATGGTATCGCTTTAACTATTTACGAGTAATCGATGTATCGGAATCGCTTTCGCCAATTTTTAAGTATCGATGTATCGGTATTGCTTTAGACAATTCTGAGTATCGATGCCCACCACTGTGTAGATGTGTGTGTGTGTGTGTGTTTAGGTACATATGTATACGTGTACACTCACTAAAAGTATCTTTACTCAGGAGTAGGTGAAACCGAAACGATCGTTAGTTGATTTGGAAAGGTTGCTACTCGTTGTTTTCAAATCTTGGAAAAGATGAAGCTTCATTGTGTTCGAATAGGGATTCGGAGATCATATGGCTAGGGCCTCCTATCATGGCAATATTAGCAATGGGGACCTCATACACCATTTATAACACCATAATGAAACTGTACTCGAGAGATTATCAAACGCCAAAATATCAAGATGATTAGGTATTTCGAAGCAATCCATGTCTCTGTGGATCCATCGACACCTAGTAACTGGATCCACCAAAGACAAGATCAGAAGTAGGCACCCTAGATACTGGGAGGAAGATCAAGTAAATGTCATTCAAAATTGTAAATCAATGTGCTATATAAAAGACAAACAGGAAGGTTGCATTAAATTGCATTGAATATTATGAGATAATGATAACCATTTGATACTCAATGGTAACACTCCTCACAACTGGGTTTGAGAAGGGGGCATGGCCGTAGTTTGTTCCTACCATCTGTAAGGGCCACGGTCTTTCTTGAGTCGGAGCCATTTTACCTCTTCCACGATAATGGCCCCTTCCACATGAGAAGTGTCGTGAAGACATAATTTTTGCAACACCCCAAGATTATGCCATGTCACATCCACCCAAATGGCTAGATCTCAGTTCCATAGAGAATGTCCGGGCAGCTATGGACAGAGACATTCCTCAAGATCATACCCGCAACTGTCATATGTTGATACCCAAGCAATTACTACGTAGGTGTGATTTGGCTCTGCAGACGGATGTCAGTTAATGGGCATCCATACCATCAGACTTGCCAGTGTTTGCCAGAAAATATTAAAAGTATTATACATTTCAACCCTTAATTTTTTAAATATTGCTGAGCAAAGTGAACAAAAAATCAGAAAAAATAGCTATTCTAGGTGCATTCTTAAACTATTTACCCCACTTATACCAGATGATGTTCCATCAAGTCAGGACCTAAGTGCAAGGTTGCAAGTACTTATGTTACCTGTGATCAATGCCGATCAAGCTTGCATACACTCAACAATTGTTCACTAATTTGACCCTGACTGAGATCACTGAGGAAATACAGTCCCTAAAACTACATCTAAACTCTCCTTTCAGCATCACTTCCTAAGGAAGTTGTAGGGATTAGGGTAAGCAAATGCTCCTAGTTTATCACCAAGTGGTTGACTGGACACATAGCATAGCACATGGAGAAATCCTGTTCTAAATTGTTAACATGTGAAATTTTGTCATAATGGAATAAATTTCTCAAATCACAATTCAACAACTCAAATTCAAAGTTCATCCCTCGTATGGGCAGAAAGGAATAGTTTTATGCATACATCATAAACAGTAAATATTTGAAGTTCTTTATTCGACACACTTGACACAGAAATAAGTGAAAGGGACTTTAGGAAATATGTTATGAATATGAGACCACTTTTCAAAACATAAAATCTTCTCTTGTATCTAATTCTATACATTTCAATATCATTTTTTATTGTTCCTTTCTTTATATGATATTTCAATGCATTTACCTAATCATACAAGTTTCTGCATCAAAGTCCTGCATGGCATCAATTCTAAAAAGACTCAATAAATAATAATAATAATAAAAAATCTGTCACAAAATGCCAGGCACCACCCTGTCTAGGAAAATGAAAATAAAATTACTAGATTAAGAGCCAATTAAGAAATTACTCTGGTTGAGGTTATAATAACCACGAAATAACATAACACTGAGCCAACATGTTATGCGTTAACATCCCCAAAATAGAATACGACCCTCTTATTTCTTAACCCTATATATTGGAAGGAACAGATCCCTGACACACGTCTCTCCTCCATAACTTGACCCTAAGCCAGGGTGCACCAATCACCGGGGGACAGGCTGGGTATTGGGTTTTGGCATCTTCTGGAGGAGAGCTTGGATCTCCTTGCGTTCGTCATATGATTTCCAGAGTTCATACAAGTTGAGAATGTACCTAGTGATCTCCATGAGCCGGTCCAGGTCAGTGTTCAGTTCAGCGAACCACTGCTTGCAATCCTTCTGATGGACGACACACGCCATATGGATGCAGGCTGGAAGTAGTTTGGAAAGTAGACTCAATTCTCAGGGTACTGAAAAGTCTTGTTATGCAATGGAATTAATAAATATTTAATATATATACACACATTTAACTAATACACACACACATACATATATACATGCGTATACACTTATATAGGCCTCTGTGTGTGTGTGTGTGTGTGTGTGTGTGTGTGTATGTGATTATATGTATATAGTAATATATATATATATATATATATATATATATATATATATATATATATACACATATATATATATATACACATATATATATATATATAAAATATAGCCTAATGAACACTGGAACAGCAACTCACATAATGCAATTTCATAAGGGGGAAACAGAAGACAGACATCTGTGCGAAGGGAATCATTTACAATCCTCCAAGCTAGTTGCAGCACTTCCCCTTCTCCTCCTAGGTCCTGCATGTATTGCACCAATGGTCTGAAATGGAAAATAAATAGCCATATTGATGTTTCAAGCAATATATATAAGAATATTTAAGGTGGAAAATAAGAGAAAGAAGAAGAAGAAGAAAAAATGTAAATGAACTATTCTTACCCATTAATGGCTACCTGTTCATATGTCATATATATATTTTACAGTGATATATAAAAATAAGAACAAGACTGACCTGTATGGCTGATATACAATGAGGCAACAGTCCATACTCTCCAGGAGGTAAAACTCGCACTCCAAAATGTGGTTAGTTCGATATGGAAATTCTGTTGTGTATGCATAAGCAAACTTGTTCTTTACTGGAAAAATAGGGAAGATTTCAATCAATATATTATGCATACATAAACATACAGATGTACACACAGACACACACACATATGCATTTTCATCTAAATCTGATTTATTTTAGATTTTCTGTAATTAAAAATGGATGTTACTGCCAAATTCTCTCACAATTTTGAGTGATTCTCATGTCTTACGCTTTACCATAAACAAGTGAAGAATTTTAAAAAATCATCAAAATATTTCAATTATAATTAGAGGAATAACGACAGCTTTACACTCAGCTCCATCAGAAAATTCTATATTTGCACCTCTACCTGTTTATTTATATCAAGCCTCACTGCTAGGGTCCTCAGAGCAACTAAATCATTGGAAAGAGGTTTATTTTAACCAGAATGTGTGTGTGTGTGTGTGTGTGTGTGTGTGTGTGTGTGTGTGTGTGTGTGTGTGTGTGTGTGTGTGTGTGTGTGTGTGTGTGTGTGTGTGTGTGTGTGTGTGTGTGTGTGTGTGTGTGTGTGTGTGTGTGTGTGTGTGTGTGTGTGTGTGTGTGTGTGTGTGTGTGTGTGTGTGTGTGTGTGTGTGTGTGTGTGTGTGTGTGTGTGTGTGTGTGTGTGTGTGTGTGTGTGTGTGTGTGTGTGTGTGTGTGTGTGTGTGTGTGTGTGTGTGTGTGTGTGTGTGTGTGTGTGTGTGTGTGTGTGTGTGTGTGTGTGTGTGTGTGTGTGTGTGTGTGTGTGTGTGTGTGTGTGTGTGTGTGTGTGTGTGTGTGTGTGTGTGTGTGTGTGTGTGTGTGTGTGTGTGTGTGTGTGTGTGTGTGTGTGTGTGTGTGTGTGTGTGTGTGTGTGTGTGTGTGTGTGTGTGTGTGTGTGTGTGTGTGTGTGTGTGTGTGTGTGTGTGTGTGTGTGTGTGTGTGTGTGTGTGTGTGTGTGTGTGTGTGTGTGTGTGTGTGTGTGTGTGTGTGTGTGTGTGTGTGTGTGTGTGTGTGTGTGTGTGTGTGTGTGTGTGTGTGTGTGTGTGTGTGTGTGTGTGTGTGTGTGTGTGTGTGTGTGTGTGTGTGTGTGTGTGTGTGTGTGTGTGTGTGTGTGTGTGTGTGTGTGTGTGTGTGTGTGTGTGTGTGTGTGTGTGTGTGTGTGTGTGTGTGTGTGTGTGTGTGTGTGTGTGTGTGTGTGTGTGTGTGTGTGTGTGTGTGTGTGTGTGTGTGTGTGTGTGTGTGTGTGTGTGTGTGTGTGTGTGTGTGTGTGTGTGTGTGTGTGTGTGTGTGTGTGTGTGTGTGTGTGTGTGTGTGTGTGTGTGTGTGTGTGTGTGTGTGTGTGTGTGTGTGTGTGTGTGTGTGTGTGTGTGTGTGTGTGTGTGTGTGTGTGTGTGTGTGTGTGTGTGTGTGTGTGTGTGTGTGTGTGTGTGTGTGTGTGTGTGTGTGTGTGTGTGTGTGTGTGTGTGTGTGTGTGTGTGTGTGTGTGTGTGTGTGTGTGTGTGTGTGTGTGTGTGTGTGTGTGTGTGTGTGTGTGTGTGTGTGTGTGTGTGTGTGTGTGTGTGTGTGTGTGTGTGTGTGTGTGTGTGTGTGTGTGTGTGTGTGTGTGTGTGTGTGTGTGTGTGTGTGTGTGTGTGTGTGTGTGTGTGTGTGTGTGTGTGTGTGTGTGTGTGTGTGTGTGTGTGTGTGTGTGTGTGTGTGTGTGTGTGTGTGTGTGTGTGTGTGTGTGTGTGTGTGTGTGTGTGTGTGTGTGTGTGTGTGTGTGTGTGTGTGTGTGTGTGTGTGTGTGTGTGTGTGTGTGTGTGTGTGTGTGTGTGTGTGTGTGTGTGTGTGTGTGTGTGTGTGTGTGTGTGTGTGTGTGTGTGTGTGTGTGTGTGTGTGTGTGTGTGTGTGTGTGTGTGTGTGTGTGTGTGTGTGTGTGTGTGTGTGTGTGTGTGTGTGTGTGTGTGTGTGTGTGTGTGTGTGTGTGTGTGTGTGTGTGTGTGTGTGTGTGTGTGTGTGTGTGTGTGTGTGTGTGTGTGTGTGTGTGTGTGTGTGTGTGTGTGTGTGTGTGTGTGTGTGTGTGTGTGTGTGTGTGTGTGTGTGTGTGTGTGTGTGTGTGTGTGTGTGTGTGTGTGTGTGTGTGTGTGTGTGTGTGTGTGTGTGTGTGTGTGTGTGTGTGTGTGTGTGTGTGTGTGTGTGTGTGTGTGTGTGTGTGTGTGTGTGTGTGTGTGTGTGTGTGTGTGTGTGTGTGTGTGTGTGTGTGTGTGTGTGTGTGTGTGTGTGTGTGTGTGTGTGTGTGTGTGTGTGTGTGTGTGTGTGTGTGTGTGTGTGTGTGTGTGTGTGTGTGTGTGTGTGTGTGTGTGTGTGTGTGTGTGTGTGTGTGTGTGTGTGTGTGTGTGTGTGTGTGTGTGTGTGTGTGTGTGTGTGTGTGTGTGTGTGTGTGTGTGTGGACAAATTACAGGAGATGAGAGATAAGTGTGCACTTCCTCTGAGTGTTCATGTGTAAATAGGTTCCTAAGTGGCTACCAAACCTATGTGTAAGTTGCCAACAGCTCTCCACCCTCCTAGACACCAACACACATTCAGCTAGACTTTGGTGAAACAGAATTTCAGTGGAAATTTGCTTTATTCTATGTGTGTACAAGGTCCCAACCTGCCATACCACCCTCCAATGGGTTAGGACCTTTTAATTCAATTTATACCTGCACCAGACATTTAAATTGGAAGCTATAGCAAAATTTTTGCTTGGGGGAGTATTTCTAGAAGGTATGTAAACAATTTGAGCCAAGTTTCAAAAAATCCTATAATGACTATACCCCCAAGGAATCACATACCCTCTTAATGAGTGGTCTCTTGTGGTCTATGGAACAAACATCTTACTATCAATGTTTTTGCTACAGGAGGGATTAAAAAATGATGTTAAGACTTAGGGTGGGAACATGAAGACCTGTTGGGTGGTAAACAGTGGGTTGGCAGCTGTAGGGAGGTGGGGAGTGAGTTGGTAGTTATTTCAGTTATGAGTGATGGTCCTCCATGTTCCCCTTGAAAAGGGAAACATAAAAGTGGTAACAAAATTTTTGGAGGCATTGTGGTTTGTACCAGCTGAAGGCTGAAGTGATCCAACAGTGTTGTGCAACTGCCTTATATCAAATTTTCCCATGCTATTTCAATGTAGCAATAAGTAGAAGATAGTAAATATAATCATACAAACTTCAGCAAGGTTTCGCTACATAAAGCTATCAGTTACTCTAAAACTACATTTCTTATATGATTTGGGTAATTATAAATATTAATATTACATTATTAAAATCTCAAACCTACCTTGCTAATAACAAAGTAATCACTATGCTTTGAGAAATATTTTCTGCCCCACACTTGGTACTACTTGTTTTAATGTAAGATCATGGCAGAGAATGTATATACATGCACTACAGTGTCTGAGCCCAGATTCAGAGTGCATGTGTATTCATATCAACATTAACAGGTTAAGAAGTATAAACTGTTTTTACTATCCCATTTAACTTAAATCATATTCTATTTCTGTAACAAATTTTCTATCCTAGGTGCTTTGGCTAACAGCTGGTGCTGAAGCAAGCCCCTTGACCTCAAATTCTAACCTGAAACACTTGGTAAGTTACATGGCTGAAGTGTAGCCAAAGCAGTTGGTTATAAAAAGCTAGGTAAACTTTGGCCACGTGTCTGCAATCAGGCCAAACATGTGTTCTACCAATGATTACAGTGGGATTGGGTTTGGGATAGTTGGTGCAGGTGGCCCATTTAGTAGTCACTAGCCATAATTCTGGCTAATAAAAGGAGGAAAATTTGTGAATTTGGACGTTCATTAAAAAAAAACTACCCATACGCATATATCCTCCAAGAATTTACCAGAACACACATGTACCTACCAATAGTTTGGCAAGTGGAAATTAATCTGCTGTTGGAGATGACCCCAAACTCCTCAACCTTGGATGAGAGGAAGACACTGGTGGGGGCGAGGAGAAGCGGGTCAATGCACTTGAGAGAATTTCTTGCGTAGAATCTTTTAAGGAAGCATGTGGCAGTTGCGATGACCTGTTGTTTAAGCTTGAGTGATTCACCAAGTTGCTGAATAACTGAAATTATTGTTACCAATGAAAAAGCTATTTTTTATAGTGTAATACAGAATAAACTCATTTTCATTTTATTGGATGAAACTATCTATTGGAAAAAACAGTAAATATCTATGGATGTTGCTGTCTCTTACAGTTAGCAAAGAAGGTCATAATCTTCATGTATTCTTCTTCAGACAGCACCTCTAAGTCAGCCTGGCGTTCTTGTATCAGGTCCTGACTGTCGAGGAGCCATTGTTGGCTGAAAGAGACATGTATTTAGGGTAAATCTCAGTGCTACTATTGATGATGATGATGACAATGGTAATAATAACAATAAAACAACAAAAAGTGTTTATACATTAAGGATTTGTCTAAATCAGGGGTTCCCAACCTGTGGGACCATGGAGCAATGTGTAAATTTTTATGTTGATTCTAAGTGAATTTTATCTCACCTATAGTACCTGTATATAATTTTTCACATATTGTAAATTAGGATCTTTCAATAAAGTGTTCTTGTTCTACAGCTATTGACACCATTATTCATAATTGAATCTGAAAAGGTTGCATAACTGAATGGTGATTATTATATATTGGTTGGGGTCCACAGAATGAGAAAGTCTGGGAACCACTGGTTTAAATACAGGCTAGGTAAAAGAAAGAAGAAAGAAAAACAAAATCTGTATCTATATCAACTTACTCCAAACTCACAACACTTTCACTAGGCTTTCCTTACACCTTTATTATTAACAGTACTTATTCATAAAAGATCAACTATACCAAAGAGCCTTTACTTTAATTTTCTTTCTTGGCTATTTAATGCAGGTTTCCTGGTCATGGAGATAAACTATAATACAATGGTTACAAAGAACAGACAAAAAAAAAAAAAAGAGTATTAAGACATTAAAGAAGAAAATATCTGTATACAGTACAGTTACCCCACAATCTATTATCAAAATATGCAGATCAACATCAAATATATAGCCTTCACATTTCACACACGGGCAATAATAAACAACCCCCTTCTATACATATTCTGGCAGACCTCTCTGGTAATATAATATTAAATAATAGTTAATAGTTAATGGTTATAAGAGACAAATGTGCTAGACAACATATGGTAAAGTTGTGTCAAAAAGGGTGGAGTTAATGATCAGGATAAGATGTGTTTGATGTGAAAGGTTGTAGAATGGCTATAGGATAGGATGGTAGTGAAAAGGGTATAGAAGGGGAACAAATAGAATACAGTGGAGATTTGTGAATGGGGATGTGGCAAAAGAGCTATTATGAAACAATCAAACGATAATATGATAAGAAATTATTGTTGCAGAAGTAGGAGAATAATCCTAAGAATGGAATAAGGGAACACAGGAAGAATGTCAGGAGGGGAGGGTTCCGGAGAAGGACATTGTTGAGACAAAAGGGAGTCACGGAGTAGGGATAGGTTGGTTTGGAGTAGAGAGATGAGATACTAGGGGAGATGTTGAGACTTCTTGAGAAGATGGGAGGGAAGCGGAGCAAAGTACATTTTTCAAATAGTTAGAAAAAGAAAAGCCTCGTTGACGTGCTTCTTGTTTGGCCTCACACTAGTTTGAATCTGAGAACTGCTAATCAGATTCGAGCTTGTAGGCAGGGCAGCTTCTATAAAATACATTATGGGAGCCACCACAATTGGCACACATGCATGACTGAGCAGAGCAATTTAAACGGTCATGACCTAGTTGGGCACACAGAGGGTAGCCAGCTGTGGAGCAACAGTGTTTTGCTGGGAGGCTAAAATGTCAACATTTCTGACATTGACAGGAAAGGGGTTGATAAGGTTGGACAGGGCAGGACAATCCACAAATTTAAACTTCATGGGGGAGGTCAAGTCTTCAGAAGCTGATCTTGGCAATATTCTGTAGGACTTACTCTGGCCTTTGGGAGGAATAGTACCACTGGACTGCCACTGCATCACAGTCCATGAGGCATTTGAGCAAGTTATTTTCACAGTTTGACCAGTCCTTGTCATAGACAGGACAATCAGGCAGAGAGACGGAAACAGTTCTGGTACAAGTATTAAGGAAGGAGTGAGGCTGGACAGGAATAAGTTTACCAGTGAGTTCAGTCTGGGTAGATATAACTGTGACAAGGTTTGAAGGGTCAGAACGACTGTGAAAGGAAACATTATTAGAAGAGAAGGGTATTGTCAGAGTGCAAGGCTGTAGGGAGGAATCACAAATAATTGATCCTGCTTGGCTGGGCCAAAAAGGGTACTCAAGGTGTAAGGATGAGGGTGAACAGAAGATGGGGTGGTATGAAGAGAGGTAGTAATGTTGGGAGGAGGACAACAAGGAGGATAATAAGGATGAAGAGTAGTAATAAGGGGGGTGAGGGTAGACAGTGAAGAAGACTAGGCTGTAGAAGATGGAGTGGAGGATGTTAGGAGAGAGGAAGGGGTGTATTCTGAAGGATGAGTAATGACCTGGGTGGATAATTTGGAATGGATAGAGTTGACCGCAAAACTTTGAGGAGGGGAGCCGTGATTAAAGGAGAGGCAGGGGTCGGGAACACAATGAAATCAAATTTAGATAGATAGGCTAATTGATACCCCTAATAAGGGTTAAACATATTTATTATTGGCTATGGTGATTTTGAAATGAATTACCCCTCAGGGTCCCCATGAGAGTAATGGCTAGACAATTAACCAAGGGAATACCATCACATGGCTCATGGAGACCGTTCACGTCTGACACAAAGCCAGCCTTTTATCCTTTCAGAATGGCACTCACACCTTAGGAAGTGGACAGAATAAGGGGATGATGAAGAAAAGAAAGAAAGGAAAGGGAGAGAAGAAAAGCCCACGCAAAATTAGCTGAGGCGAGGGCTGAGGTCCAAGGCAGAGGTGATCCCCAACACTGGGCCTCAGTCTCCATTTCCTAAGCCCATCCCAAAACAACAAGCAAGGGATTAAGGGGTATTATAAAAAAATAAATTAGTCCAATCTCTATTTTGCTGCATTATACATATAGATTGTTTGTTGGCCTTTGCTTAAATGCAGTGGCCATGACTTACAAGTTGCAAGACTTTTATTCTTCAATTAGTGAAAGCTATTGAGAAAAAGATAAGCTCCCAATTAGTTATGAGCTTCTGATTATAACTTGTTAAATATTTTATTACTGTATCATGCTTTGGTCCAAGTGAGGTATCCTTGGTTAAGTATGGTTACTCTTAAGTTCTACTTTGACTTTCAATGGTTAGATTAAGTTCAGATGGAGTTCCAAGGGTATACTACATACCATGCAGATATTGTATCATGACCAATTGTGTTACACCACCTGAGACTGTAACTAGTTCTGCCAAGGGATGGGGAGAGAGGTCTGATAAATCCTCCCTCCATGACCTCTGCCATAATGAATCTTCTTGCGTACAGTTCTTGTCCTACCTTCTCCATAAAAACATGCTAGCTCCCACAGTTCCCCTAAGGTGCCCTCTCTTTGAGTAACCCAAAACCTTTTCTACCAGTAAAGGAAGAATGACATAGCTGAATTCTACTGATCACTTTCCCGTCTCTCTAGCCTTCCTTTAATCATGACACAAAGAGGATCTTATAATTAGATACCATTTCCACTAATTTTGCTGTACAATAACATGAGCAAAACAAGTTGACAGGGTTATAAATGCAACTGGCTGAATAAAGATTTGTTGACAGTTGATGAAATTGGCAACTATTCTGGATAACATTCTCGTACGCAAGTTATTTCTTTGTGGATCTCATTAAATGTTAAGTCTGTGGTTAACATTGTATGTTCCCAAGTGAGGAAACATATTGTCAATATAGAAAAGAAGATATTCAGTGCACATTGTTTGGTGGAAAAGGCCAAAGTAAGAATGATGCTGAATAGCTCATCATAGTTTGGTTAACTTTAGGTTATAGTTGATTAAGTTTTGATTAAATAAATGATATACGGGGGATATAATAAGCTGGTATAGATAACAAACTAGGCTTTATCAGCTTCAGTTAGAAAGGAAAGGTTGGATATTTAGAAGGTAACTGTGTTTCCCACTGGCCTAGAGCAATTTAATGCCTCCACACCTGCCAAAACACCTGTAAAGGCCAACAATCCTCTACCTCCAATTCTGATGATACATCTAGTAGATTTCCTTGGCAGTTTCACTTAAAATATGAAACTAACCAAAGACAAATTTTACTTAAATATGCATGGCACAGGTTTGCTTGCCTTTGCTGGTTTGCAAAAACAGAAGCTTGGTCTCAACTTGGCTTCATATTGTAGGCCTTCCATCATTACCATGTGAACTTTTAGTAAAGACAAAAAAGGTGTTGATTTGAGAGTAGTACTGTTGCTATCTCAAAAATGTTGGTCAATATGTAGTATAAGGTAGTGGCAGAGTTGGGTAATAAAACCTACATGAAATGATAGAACCATACAAACCAAGACAAAGTTCTTCTAGGGCAATATGTGTGTAAATGCTTCCCAAGGCTGCTA